CCGTGCGCTCAGTGCGGGACGGAGCCGCGATGGAGAAGCCGCGGCGGGCGGTGGTGGTGACGGGTACGGGGCGGCGGCGGGGGGAGCTGTACCCTCTGTGGGGTGATAAGCAGGAGGTCTGGGGATGGAGGATGAGATCTGGGGGACATGAGGACGGGGGCTGCTGTGGGTGAGGGGTATTGGGGCTGGAGGGGTGCACGCTGTTCCGTGAGAGGCTTTGCGGCGGCTTCCCTAGCGTTTGGCCACACAGTGGGGGGGCTTTGGGATCCCCCTTTTCTATCCCGCAGCCTCCCCGGGGGTTTACTGGTTGGGGAAAGCTGGGGAGCGATTCTCCTAAGGAGTGGGAGAAACATTTGGGGTGCAGGTAGGGATGGGGGTGGCATTTGCTCGCTGACCACCCCATCCTGAGCCGTCAAGGTGTTGAAGCTGTTACCAAAAATCACCCACGCAGCACTGGCAGAAGCGCCTCAGGGAAGAATAAGGGAGGGAATGAAAAGGCCCCGACATCCGAGAGCTTGTCAGGCTCCTTTCCCCCGGGGTACAAAGGCCGGCCGGCTTGATTTGTGGGGAAGGCAGCTCTGTGACAAATGGGGAACTTGGTGAAACTATTCAGATCTCCCCACCACCACCACCACCACCCCCAGCAGCTGAAGTTGAGGCCGTTTGAATAGCGAGCGCGGGGGCGAGGGGTTTGTTGTCGTCGATGTGCTGGAGCGGTTTTAATTGGAGGCAAGTGTCTTTGCAGAGAGCAGTTGCGGAGAGCGAAGAAGCAGGTGGCAGCAAATTCTGGCTTTCCCAAACCTGTATCTAAGTGCTGAGCGGCCGCACTTGGCGGTGACTAAACAGAAAACTTGCGTCAGTAAATACTCTGCCGCTTGCAATACTTCTCTCTCTTTTTTTCTTCTGTTTTCAGGGAAGTCTGTTTCTAAAATGCTGTGGTTATCTTATCAGGTCTATCCTTGTTTGACAATCTGTAGTCGATGTCACACTAAATTCCTTTTTGAAACTAGCAGTGGCATGGTGTTCCGAGCATGTGCTCGCTGAGGATAAGTATTATTTGTGTGCAATTTCTTTTTTAGAACTGTTTAAGGAGATAATCCCATAAAGATCTCTGCAGCTGGTTTACTGCTAATGAGCCTTGGAGGGCCCTATTGTGGATGCGGAGGAACTCCTGGGCATGCTCGGTGGAGTTTCATGCTGTCGACAAAGTTGCTTATCTTCTGCGAAAGAGATAACTCGAGGGATCTATATAGGAGATGAGTCAGAGGAGCAATAGCCTACAGTTGTATTTGTGCCAGTTTGCGTTTGGCTTCAGAGTGAGAGGGTTACGTTACGTGCGTGGGCACCTGTAGAATTTCAGCCTTCCAGCGGCTGAATTGTTAAAAAGAAATAGATGTATTTTATTTCTTTTGTAAGACTGTTACGATTTCTTTCAGAATTCACGATTGTTTGTTTCTGGAGAGTTGTGTAGGGCATCCCTGACTTGCAGAAACCTCTGAAAAGACATTTGGTATTCAAGTTGTTCCCCAGTGCTGCGGTCACAGCTTGCCTTAGTAACATGGGAGGCTTGCTCACAGGAAAACACACCTACATTTTGATTTTGTGGAGACCTTTGGAAGATTTATTCTGCGGAGATATCGACGTTGGTTAGACTGTAGGAGATCCATCAGTGCCGACGAGCCCATGCTGTGCAAATTCCTTAAGTCATCATGTGCAGTGTAACCTCAGACTTACTGTTGATAGCAAATAGAATGTTTCCATTAACGTGTCATATAATATTTGTAGTCCCTCTCAAATGCTTTCACGAGTTAGACAAAATTTATGTCTCTTAATTGCATTAGGCTCATAGGGTAACTCTGACATTTTAAATTAAACTATATTGACGTTGCTCCCAGATAAATGGCCCAACCTTTGTGTGCTTGCTCAGGAAAAGATGTTATGGATTACTAGTTAACTCTAAGTTACTCATTAGGAAATGTAGACGTGGTGTGTAAGTACCTTTGATAATGCTATCATAACCTTTGCTGCTTGGCCTAGGTGGGTTGTTAGCAGCATTTTGTTTTATTTCCTCCTAAGGCATAACTAATGCTAACAGAGATCTTGGTGAAGTCCCGAGCAGAGAGGAAATATTTGAGACAGGCTTGTCCACATTTCTGGAAGCAGCTGCTGTGGGCTAAAACAATCAGGAGTAGAAAATCCAATCGTGATTCTCATGCCGTGACATCGGTCAACTTATCTGTTAGTAAGTTTTTCTAACCTGGTCGAGAAGGAAGAAATATGCTTCCCCAGTATCTGCTGGGAGAAAAGAGTGTCTTTTGAGGCAAACTATTGTTTTCCTTCACAGTAAAAGGTGTGTAGTTCAAACATTTCTGTGAAGGTCTCTTATTTATTGCTTGGATATAAAGCTTGGGCATTAGAAGGAGAGGATTTTCTGTCAGGGTGTATAAACCAGGAAAGCGTTGACCAAGCTTTGCAACTGTAAGTTTAGTCAAACCTGTAAGGATGACCTCATCACTGTGGATTTTTACTTCTCTTCCAGGGTTTGGTCCGTTTGGAGAGCACGCTGTTAACGCCAGTTGGATTGCAGTTCAGGTAACACTCTAACTTCGTTCTTAGCGAGTTAAAACAGAGCGCCGTGCTGATAACGTATCCTGCCCATTTTGGTTTGCAGCTCTTTTGTAACCTGTCTTCCCAGTTTATTAACTGAGACCAGCTCGCTCCAGATATCCAGATGGTCAGCTGGATAATGTTTTATTCACTTCTCAGAAAACAATCCCTTAGCTAGTAGAATTTAATGAGACTGAGTTAATGTAGCTGAAGCGAGTAAGGAATTCGTAGGCTAACTTCCTAGATTTGAAAAATGTTAAATGGGGCAGGGAGTCTGGAATCTTCCTCTGCCGTAGAGAATTCAAAATAAATAAACAAACCAACCCTGAAGAATTTTCATGTTTTTCTCTCAGCTCTAGCTTGAATCTGGGCAAGTTGGTTAACCCTTAAGCCAAGTCTCATCCCTAATGAGACTCCCACCTGGTAGTTTTGTGGACTCGAGCACACTGCGGCGGTATCCAATGTGGGTCTGAATGTCAGGACTCCAACTCCGAAGCAAAGCAGCTGCTGCTGCCTCCTTTCTTCCCCCGGTTCCTTCTGCAGCCACCTGCTTTCGGTGGCAGAGCAGGAGGAGTCGGGGGTCAGACAGTGTTTGTGCTCTGGAGCAGGTGATGCTTGATGGACCTTGCTGGAGGCAGGAGCGCTCGCAGAGGATCGTTGCTCGAGCAGATCGTACACGCTCAAACAAATCGAGTTTATGCCACTTGTAGCTGCGTAGCTGCGTGAGCATGCTCATCATAACGCTGATATATTCACAAATGAGGCCAGAAGAAGAAATCAAACTCTTGCTAGGTGCCTAACCCAGCTGAGGAGTTAAGGTTGCAGGCTGTAAAAGCATTAGCGAGGGACAGTGCTGCCACATTATCCTGTTTCTTCCTTATTTGTCACTTCTGAATGTGGTTTATGACAAAGCTACTGGGAATTCAAGGTACCTTTTAGTACAGTTGCCCAGGGAATTAAATCTATTTTTCTCCCCAACACATCTCTCCTTCCCTTCAGAACTCTGAGATTAATATCTTCTTTAGAATGCTTTTAAATTAAATCACAAACTCTAATCAATTACAGTCAACTAATGTCCAGATGTCTAATGTGTCGGCTGCTATAAGAAGACCAAACCTTTGCCTGCAAGAGCCTTTTGGAAATTAATATATTTGAGTTAGGGTTCGCTCGGTTTAAGTTTGGGGAAAAATGCAAGCTGTGTATGTGGGGGGAAAAAAAAAAAAGCATGTTACTGATATTTAGTAATGAGGCTAATTGATTTGGTTTGTTCTTATTCGTGTAACGTCAGTTGTTGTAAACAAGCTACTTTTATTCTAGAGGAGATAGACAAAAGGGTATTGTGCTTCTGGGACAGGAAGAGTGGTGGGTGTTCGGATGTTGCTTACAAAACCAAACCTGATGTATAATTCCTGTAAAGAGAAATGGCGTGTCATTCCTTCAGCCTGGCAGCTCGAGGCTGCTCAGCTGTGCGGCTGATAGATGAAGTAATCACGTGCATTTTAAATTCATTTTATGGGCTTGGGGGTGTTGTTTTGAGAGTATAAAACTACAGTTGGTGGTGTGCGATCTGCTGCGTCGGAGCCCGTCTTCCTCCAAGTCCCATTGAACAGCTCATGCTAGCTTCTAACTAAAAACATCAACTTTCAGGCAGCGGGGAGGATTTGCCTTTCCTTACCCCGTCTCAGCCCTGAGAGGCCCAGACAAAAAGGAACAGCATGTCTTTGAGCACATGCGAGTTGGGCATTGTGCAAGTTTCAGACAGGGGACTTCATGGAGCTGAGTGGACACAAAGGCGTGTCTGAGTTTCTGAATCCCAGACGGTGTGATCTGCATTTTAATAGAAGAAAAATCAATTAAACAATCTTTGTAAGTCCTTCCTAGCTTTAGGGCTAAGCTAGTTCTGGTTTATTACATCTTTTATTATTCTGCATCCCGAGGATAAAATTCTCTGCTTTTCTTTCCAGTCCTCTTTTTGGTTTTATTTGGCTTGTATAGAACACGGGTACGGTGTGTCTTTTCCCCCAGACTGCAGGGAATTTCTAGTATAGCTGTTCAGTTTTCAAAGCTGAACGACTTTTACACGTGGGTACCTTAACTAGTGGCAGTAGCAATCTAATAATGGTAAGATCAAATGTAAGATCAAATGTTTGGGGACTTTTTTTGCATGGGGAAGAGATTTCCTATAAATTCAGAGGGAAGAATAACTTCTTCCCGCTTTCTTTTTTGAGGCTTCTGTGTTTTCATCGTTCTAATATTTCCTTTGAGGATTTTTTTCCGCTGCCATTTTTGCTTGGGAGAGACCTTTCTTTCAAGAAGTTGTTACTGAAACGGGCTTTCTCAGTGCATTTTCTGGCCTCCCTGATGGGACTTAGGTGCAGGCACAGGTGTGCCCCGTGGACTGTGAAGCTAATGGGCTCCTGCCTTCATCCCCCTGAAGTGCTTCTGGCTGAGCCCGAGGAGGAGGAGAGAGGTCAGAGTGCATTTTGACATTACTAAGGACAATTGCTGTCAGGGTGTCTAGACAGACCTGATAAGGATATTAAAGGCTCACAAAGACGACCATTGTTGAGGGGTCAGGGAATCGGTCAAACATGTTCGTTTTTCTATATTTGTCAGGTATACAAGGCTGTGGGTAATAAGTTGTCTGGGGGCCAGGGTACATCTTTATTATTGAATGGAAGCGCCCCAACGCTGTGTTTGGTTAAAAGAGAGTTGTGAATTTGTAAAGCTACAGTTTAGTTTGTCTGCGTTTGGAGAAGGTGGCTGTCGCCGAGATGGTGCAGCCCACACGGCCCGAGGTTTCTTGCTCCCTGTTGATGCTGGTTCTGAGCAGCCGGTAAAACTTTCTGCCATCAAATTCATCTTCAGGAGCTGTTTCACGCTCTTTAGAGACGTGATAATGAATTCCTACCAATTAACGCTCTGGAGATCTTCCTAAAGAGACTGACTTGTATTTGAATACGCTCATTTGTAAACTACTTACTTTATTAACACACCACATAAACCAGCTAACGTTTTGAAGGCAGATTTGTGTAAAGAAGATGTGATGAAACATCACTTAGCATCCATCTCTGGTAATGAATGTCTGTGTGTGCCAGACACTAATCAATACAGCAAGCCTTTAATATCAGCCTTGCCCTTAGAGCCAGAGCAAGTGATTTATCATTGTTGTTGCTCATATCTGCTGGTCCATGAAAGTCTTACTCTTGCCTTTGCTGCGTGGTTTAGTTATCTTAAATCTTGTTGCCTGTCTGTGGTCTGTCCATACAAGTGTCAACGCTTGGGTTTTTTCTCAGTAAAGAAACAACTCCTGCTGATAACTACAGAAAAAAAAAAAACTAATATAGCTCATGTTTATACAGAGGAGGTGGGATTGGGGGAGTCCAAAAACCTCAGCTTGTTCTCTCCTTTTAACTGTCTTTAATTCGGAAGACTTAGGGAAACACAAGATTTGAAATGGAGTAAGCTTCGCCGAAAATAGCTAATCTGCACTCCTTAGCCTGAAGTTTGCAAGTATAATTTCTGTGTGCAGGAAAAGAAAGCCTAAGAATTGCATGAAAGAGCAGCTCTTGGTTCTGATCACTGAATCTGAACCTGAAATAGAAATAACTCAATCGTTCAAGAATATTTTGAAAAGTCCTTTGATAGTTTGATGACTTCTTACATTGTTGTTTCTGCTTCTGATCCATGAGGACAACCACAGCAGTTTACGAGTGTGAGTTGCAGGTTATTTTCTTGCTGCATGTGCAGCCCCGTCGGTGTTAGCATGAGGAACCATTCTGAGCTTTTGGCACGAGTAAGCTTGCGTTTTTCAGCCGACACGTATCTCGGAGGAGAGCAGCACCAGATGACGCGCTTCTGCTACGTATTAACTTGTGAAAAGCTGGAGTTGGTTCTTGTAACAAACACAGGCCTGGCGATGCAGATGCAAGAGCACACGGCTGCTCCTGCCTTCAGAGGGAAGGATGCACTTGCAGCTCCTTTCCAGAGGAGACTGAGCTATGGGAGGACTCAGACTAAGGCTCTAAGCTTTGTGGCATGTACAGTCACTTAGCAGTCTTGAAAAGCAGCTGTAAAGTTTTTCAGAGTGCCAAAAAATGTCTTCATCAGAGGGAAGCTTGATCCGAGTGAGATGCTGTTGGAACTAATTAAACACGGTAGCTGAATTCGCTTCAGCTGCTGGAAAAGTGCCTCCCGGTGTAGACTTGTACAAGGCTCCTAGGTTTGAGCTCAGCTGATAGTTTCAAGAATATTTTTTTCAGAGGCTTTAGACCCTGTGGGTGTATCCTTTCCTTGAGTTCTTGAAAGTTTGGGTTTGATGGCTCTGAAAGGTTGCACTTCTGATGAAGTCCTGTTCTGGGCTAGACTGGCAAAGTCTGAAATACCAAATGAGCAAGGCTCAGACCAAAGCTTTACTGGTGAGACTGGAGTGTGCTGGAATGGAGACCAAAGCAGAGCAACGGGGAAGTGTCCAGGACCATGGGCTGCATGTAGAGGGAACTCAGAGCGTTGGGGTGAAACTGTGCTTTCCAGTCAGGTGTACTGGGGGGAAAAAAGAAAAGATCCTTCCCCTTCCCTCTGATTTTAAAGAAGTCTGCAAGGTATTTAACTGACACTACGTGTTTTAAAAGGTTTAAAGGAAATTGGCTAAGTTGATTGCCTGGATATTTGGGATGTTTTCAAGGCATGGCTTTAGTTAACGTTCTAGAGGGAAAAATAATTTACTGCATTAGTCGAGTCACTACAATGGTAACAGCTCATGTTGCAAAGTTAAGTACAATATATTTGGTATTAGGTAGAGCCAGCGCTGGAAACCTGTTTTACATTTTGGAAGCAGGCTGCACTGTATGCCAGATTCTGCCAAAGTAAAAGTGAGACAAATATGTTGAGGAGGGTGTGCCAGTGTTGCTTCAGTATCTGATACGAGGAGTGTTTGCTGATATTTGTGGGGACTCACAGCCACAGAATCGGAGCCTGGTAGCACCGTCACCTAATCCTGAGAGCTCTTTATCTGCAGACAGGTAGGAATTTGCTGTCCAGGCCAGGAGTCCTGAGCAAGGACAAATTAGACAATGAATATAATCCTCCCGATTCTACTTTCTCTACATAATACCTAGTTCTTTCAAGAAGTGAATATAACTATAAATAATGTAGCCAACCTTTCTTTTGAGTGTGGGTGTTGCTGATAACTATTGTCAGTTAAATGTTGGTTTCTTTGTTATACACACATCAGAGCAAAACAAACGGTCCTGTCGAAGACTGTTAACACAGGTGGAGAGATGTCTTTGTTGTTCCCCCTTATGTCTGGGTTTGGGTTTTTTTCACAGTGGTGTTTACAAGGTTATACAGCCTGTAGTGAGAATTGATGTTAGTCCCTCACAGCAGACTCACTCTGCCCTTAAACCTCCCTGAAGTGTATCCTCTGCTGAGTATATCCTCCTCCTCGTGTCTGACCATCTTGGCTTTGTTTCCTTATATTCTCAGGAGTTGGAGAAGCTAGGACTGCGAGATGACGTGGATCTGCATGTCTATGAAGTCCCAGTTGAATACCAGACAGTGCAAAGACTCATTCCTGCATTATGGAAAAAACACAGTCCACAAGTGAGTGAGTGAAGGGAGGAGGAGAAAAGACAGGGCAAAGGGTTGAAATCTGTCCTGCATACAGCAACGAACGTAACACGAATCCCATTTTTTAACGTATGTTCAGCCTGGTAGCCCCTCGCTAGGTCTTTTTTTCTTGCGAGAACACGTGAATTTGTAGAATTTTATAGCTCAGATTAGAGTGCTCCAATTAACGGGAGCAGTCAGTGCGAAGAGGCCGCTGCAAAGGGCTGTCTAGACAGCTGGTGGTTAGTCTGTGCCACCTGGGCTCCTCAGCGGTGGGCTGGGCTCTGAACCTGCCAACCTGCATGTTGACCTGGATTAAATTACAATTTAGGCCAGGAGGGGGTGAAAGAAGAATTGTTCTGTACCAGACCCACGAGTTCATTGATAAAATGACTTATTACTGTGATATTCATGTAAAAACTCCTGTAACGACTCCATAAGTCTCTAACTGGGAGTAGCAGGCTGTTGATTTTCCACTGTTTGTCCGCTGGTTTGATCTAACGTGCTTCTTTTCTCTTGTAGTTGGTGGTTCATGTGGGTGTTTCGGGTATGGCTACGACTGTAACTCTGGAGAAGTGTGGCCATAACGTAGGTTATAAAGGCTTAGACAACTGCCGTTTCTGCCCGGGCTCTCAGTGTTGTGTTGAAGGTGGCCCAGAATGCATCGATTCCATTATCGACATGGACACTGTTTGCAAGAGAGTCTCAGCGTTGGGGCTGGATGTGACTGTCACCATATCTAAGGACGCCGGCAGGTACGGGGTCACCAGCCATCGATGGGGACAGCAGACTCATCCCACAGGGCCTGTTCCCTTCAGGCTCAACTCCTGAGCTCTGTACAGTTCATAGGCGCTTCACTTCCCACGGGGCTGGCATGGGAAAACAGTCTGAAACGTACAGACCCAGAATTGGAGACTTCAAAAAAAGGAAAATTCCCCTTCTAGAAATTAAGGGGTTTTTTATCAAATGTGTGCATTTCAGCCTAGGTAGCAAAGGATTCAAAAATCTCTTCTTTAAAACACCATCTTATTTTTCAGTGATCGCCCAGTCAGGACAGGGGGAAAAGGAAAAAAAAAAAGAGATCTTTACATTTCTTTGTCCTAAATTTGATTAAAGCAATGCCACAGACTCTCTTGTGTTCCACTCTGTTGTGTCCCACTCTCTACTGCAGGATGTTTGCTGCAGTGCTGAACGTTAAGAATACACGGTCCATCCCGTCCTGCACTTTGCACGTTGTATTTGTCACTTGTTGCTAAATAAGCTCTATTCTTGTATTTCAGATACCTCTGTGACTTCACTTACTACACTTCCTTATACCAGAGCCGTGGGAGGTCAGCTTTTGTTCATGTGCCTCCGCTGGGAAAACCATATACCGCAGAACAGCTGGGTCGGGCGCTACAGGCTATAATAGAAGAAATGCTTGATGTTTTGGAGCATTCTGAAGACAAAATCAATTGTCAGCATGAACACTGAAAGTGGGCAGAAGCTATCTTAGTATTGCACTTCCAAAATTTTCCCTGCTACTGAAGTAACTGGGGAAAACGGTCTGAAACGTACAGACCCAGAATTGGAGACTTCAAAAAGGAAAATTCCACTTCTAGAAATTGACCTTTTTTTTTTTTTTTTTTTTTTTTTTTTTTGTGTGAATTTCAGCCTAGGCAACAAAGGATTCAAAATCTCTTCTTTAAAACACCTGCAACTACTCATTTCTGAAGTGACTGAAGTGTGTGTGCTGTGCTTTATCCAGAGCTTATCTGTCAGCCAAGTGACAGCTACTGACCAGTCTAATACAGCGCAGATGGAAAATTTCTCCTCTGGACTTGACGTTCAGGTGCAGGGAATTGATAACCCAGTCTTCTAATGACTAGTTCTTAAGTTGAAAGGTTTGCTTTCGTTTTGTTTCGGGTTTTGGTTTTTTTTTTTTCCCCCTCTTTGGCCCCAATTATAGGTTACAGCATAAAAGTACAGCTGAAAAGAGTTGGAATGGTGTGGGTTTGTCTGTCGTAAAACGGCGCTTGATGGAGACGAGGAGTCTTTGAAATTGCTTTGCTGAAATGGAAAAATATTTTAGGCACCGATTTCTCACCCCACGTTGTCCAGATTTTCGTCGGGTCCTCTGTTATGTACTGGTTAACTGGTAGCTGCAGATAGAAGGGATGTGTTTTGGGTTCCTTTTGTTGTGGAGCAGGAGATACCTTTTTTTTTTTTTTTAAATTTTAATTTTTTGATTTTGTAAACAGTATGAGCTGAACTTGCGCCAAATATTTCCAAATGTCTTTTTTTATTACGCTCTCGATGCCACCTTCCTCACTCAAGTCAACCATATACCTCCTGTACAAAACACATTGTTTCATATGTGTATAAAACAAATCATTAGCGGTTAAATAGCTTTGCTAAAGGCCACTTTCTCCGCAGGAGATCTTTATCCTAGACTCTTGGTGCTAGCTGTTATTTTTAAGGTGAAGGTTGAGTAATTTATAACTTCCTCAGTTATAAATTTTCATTCTTGTTAAAGGTTAGGAGAGTAATGTTTAACTTAAATTCCAAGTTGCCACCTTGATTTATTATAGGCATAAATATGCAAACGTGCGGATTCAAAGACATTCTGCCAGATCAAATCTAAAATCTTAAGCCTATTCCCACTGTCTGTAAACCAGAGGCAATTATTTGAAAACTAGAAATTTTGCTTACAATGAGTATTCCGGGCTGTTTATTACTGTCCCCCTCCCAATGGGAGGGTACAAAGTGCTGCTTCTTGTGTGAACTTTCCCAGTAATTAGCGTGGGGAAGTGTACACGCAGGTTCTAAGCGGGAATTTAAAAGTGGTTGACGCTAGTCGTGCGTGTAGATTTGCTTCTAAATTACAAAACTCCACCAAAAGACGGAGGGTGTTACAGTGGGAACAGACACAAAATTCGTAATCGATGACCAGTAGGTCTCATTGAGGGGCCATTTAAATGAAGAAGTCTGTCATTGGGTTCTTTTACGAATATATATATATATATCTATATCTATTAAAAAAACCCCACCACATTTTGAACCGTTTTAAAATACCATTATTTAACTTTTTCTAATGATGAATGATTCTGCTATAGTATCTCTCAGTGAGAGCTGCCATTAACTTGCTGTTTTCCAGTAGAAGTCTCGTGACAAAGGAAATACCACTTCTTGTAACCCTCGAGAGAGGAGGAAGACTTCTGCAGTTGTAGTAACTTTACTAAGGGGACCTGTTTATGAAGATGTTTGGATAAACTTCTGGTTTACCGAGGAAATTACCACTGTATTTACTCTGCAGGCTTTCCTGATCAAAAGAGTTTGCCTTCAAAGTAAATATTCTCTTTTGCATTCAGATACGAAGTAGCACTTGTCAGATTGTCAGCAGGCAGGCGGGCTTTCTGATTAGTAATTTATTATATTTAAATATTTTGTTTAAATATTCGTGGTTTGACACATTTCTGCAAATAGTTGAGCTACCTGTAGGTTTATTCCTTTATCTGGTAAGTTTTTGTCATCGGTGTATCTTAGCTGCTAAAAGAGGAGTAATTCATGTATTCTGCTAAGTTCAGCCAATTGATTTAAGTCATTTTCAGTAATGCTATTTAATTTACGTGTAACATAGTTGTGAATACAACGGGAGTGGAAGATCAGCGGTGTAGTGAGGCGATAACAAAGTAAACAATGGTGGCGTGGAAGCAGCCGTGGGAAGGGCTGGTGGGTGCTGTGGGGAAGGTCTGGCCGTGGGTGCTGTGGGGAGGATCTGTCCGTGGGTGCAGTGGGGAGGGTCTGGCCGTGGCCATCCCTCTCCTGGAGCAGAGCGGGTGGAGCAGGTCACTGCCCGGGCTCTGTTAGTGAGACGGGTCTCAGCGAGCCGTGCCCTGTCCGTCCCTCTCTGTCCAACGTTTGCGCTTCCTTCGAGCGGAGCAGCAGCCCTGGAGATGCCCCCGATGTGGCTCCAAATCCCTCGGCAGGGAGGGCAGCCAGCGGCGGCGGCGCGGGGAGAGCAGTTTTCCACGCTGGTTTATTCAGCCTGGGGAGTTCTGTCCCGTTCGACACCTAGAGATGTTCATTCCTGGGTGCTCCCTGATGCCCAGGGGGAAAATCTTGAGCTGATTTCCACGACTGCTGTTTGTCCAAGGACTGCAGTGGTTGACCTTCTCTGTCAGTGTGAAAAATCTCATTTTTTGGAAGTACTTTGCTTTTGGGTGTTGCTTTGAGCGGTGCGTTCCCTCATAATCTTGTTTTTGTGAAGCTTCCGTGTGATCAGTTTATTAGAAAACATAATTTATTTTATAACTTTTGGGGGTTTTTGAGAATTAGTCCTCAGAGCTTGTAAAGGGTGTCTTGGTGGTAGAGAAATTTTGTATAGTGAAACTTTAAAAAATGGCATTAAACTAATTTTATTTAATCTGACCTAAATTAAATACGTTTGGTTTTTTGAAAGGTTTTTTTTTTGTTAAATCCATTCATTCATAATGCCTTTTCTATAGGTTTCCATTTTCTTTGGAAATAGGACGTCGAACTAATGCAGAGCTTCAAAAAGCTGATGTTTTGTGTAATTCCGACTATTTACTTTCTCTTCCAGATCCTCAATAAATAGAATTTGCTAATTTGCACTGACTGGGAGACCTGTTGCCAACCACAAAAAATATTGTGCTAGCGAGCAAGCGTAGGAAGTTCAGGTTCAGTATTAATTACTGTGCTTGCAATTTGTAAAATGTAAAAGCTGGTAAATTTTTTTTAGAATCCTGTGATTGCAGAATTGTCTCTGGGGAGACGATTCACGGGGAAATGGGGGTGAGAGTATTTTGTGTGGAAGAGAGAATTAGGGAGGTTCCACTGTATTGGGTCTGATGTCATTTTAGCTACTTGCTGGCAGCTTGGGGTAGGAACTGGCTAACGTGTTGGTGAAGTTCGGTGATGACAATTTAATTGTTTCAGTTATTAAATGCTGCGGAGGATTTTTGAGGAACTCCAGGTACTCGTGAACTCCTTCATGATTTGATGACGCTGATGTCAGGAGATATTTCCTTTGAATTAAACGTGGTAATTACTCTGTAAAACACGGCAAAAAGCAACTGTGAGCTTTGACAGTTTCTTTACCTTAAAGACTTGTGAGGGACTTGATGATCCTTGTGGGTTCCCTTTGAACTTGAGATATTCTGTGGTGTGGTTGGAGGTAAACACCCACTCTCCAGAAGCTGGCTGTACTTTTTTTGAGCAGCTTTTGGAAAGGATTTCCAAACCCTTAAGATGGTAGGGGAGCAGTTCACGCTTACCTGGAGTGTTCCCCAACCTGATTGCTTCCTCCTAAACGTGGTAGTAGTGGGAAAGGATGAAAAAGTCATGAAGATGGTCAGAGGTGTTGAGTGTGGTTGTGACATGAGAGACTGCAGCCAAGAACTGCTGAGCTTCAGGAGTCCTTCCAGGGAGGACCTGACTGAGGGTGTTTCAAAGTTTAAAGACTTCATGAAAACCAAGCAGTTGCTCTGCCTTCACCCTGGAGAGGAGGGAAGTTCAAAGGCAAGGCGTCTAGAGTAAATTTGAGATAAACACTTTGTGACTGGCTCCTTGCAGAAACGGAGAAGGCGTTTGCGTGCAGCGCCGCGTTGTGAAGCGTAGCCTGATGCGTTGGGTCCTGCCTGCTGCCCGCAGCAGAAAAACAGACTCGTTGAACCAGGGCTCTGATCCAACACGTCAACTTCTCTTTGTCTCCGTAGGGTTTGCACTGCACGTACTGTGGTAAGTCAGGTAGGAAACTCTACTATTTGTATTTACTTACCTAGACAGTCACGCTTAGATGTAGCATTCAAACTCCGGTGTGTCTCTCGCTGCTCTGCCGGTTGTGCAGGCAATATTTAACCTTTTAGTGCCTCAGTCAGCTGGCAAAGGGGATTATTCCAGGCCACTGTCAGGCAGCGCCGTGCCTGGGATAAAAGTCCAGGAGCTTCCAGGCCTGCAGACTCGCAAAGGGACAGCACAGACTCCCAGTGTTGTTATTTTTGTTCGTGGAAAAGTCTAAAAAAATTATAATCCGCTTGAAGTTCTAATAAATAATCTTCGTTTGATTGTGTGATTCGTTGACCTCGCATGCAGGCTTTCTGATGAAATGTATAACAGGAATTGCAGTAGGAGGAGCTTCTCAAAACCAAAAATGGGAAAAACCACATAAATAAAGGAGTTGAGCTGGTAATTCCCCGCTAACACAAGAGCTGGCGGTGGGCTAAAGCAGCAGTTATGGTCTGACCGTGTTACTTCATGCGTTAACTCGTGACTCGTGCATCTTTTCTAACTTCTAGTGTGTTTCTAACTCTCTAACCACGCAGCTGATGCTCAGACACTAAAGCTACTTTAAGAGTGAGTGGTGGTGTTTGACAGCTGACTGGAAACCGGTATGTTTAGAAGTAGAAAGTACACTTGTGGGGGGTTTGTTGTTGTGTTGGTTTTTGGGGTTTTTTTTAATTATGATTTTCAGATTTCATCCCACAGTGCAGATAATAAAATTGTCGGCAGTTAATTTGTACATACTTTCATAAAGTAACTTTGTTCCTCTTGTCTCCTTTACTTTAGTAGGCTATCCAATAATATTTTAACGAGAGAAATTTCAGAGTTGTGAAGGCTTTCTTTCAAACTGCATCTGTTGGCTTGGATAAAATACCCCTAGTTGATACCATAACTACACATCTTGACGTAGATGGATTTGTTATTTTTGCACCAGAAACCCTGATGTTTTGCAGTAAAAAGTGCACTTTTTCTTAAAAAAAAAAAAAATTTGTATTCATGTCTGATTAGTGTCTTATGTGATGAAAGTGGTATTCTGCCAAACCTCCAAAGCTGAGGATATTGTTAATTCTTCATCGTATTAATTGAAACCTGAGATCTGCTTCTGCTCAGTCTTATTTTAAGACAAAGTAGAGAAGAAAATGCTTCCCCATAGATAGGAATTTAAATATAGGAAACGAAACTATACACTGCCCTTAAATAAAACTCTGTGCTACTTAAATACACGTTCAGGTTTTCTATTGCACCAGCTTCTTAAATCGCAAATGTTTACTTTGATTAAACAGGGAGTGCCTTGTCCTGTGCTGGGCTCACGTTTGGAAGGCAGAGTGGTGGTGATGGGGACAGATGAGCCCTTTGCACATAAGGTGGGTGGAAAGACGGGGCTTTTCGGCACTGGGAGAAACTGCTGAACTTGTTTGGTGTCCCCTTTATCCAAGGATGCTCTTCAGAAACTGAATTGAGTTCTCGAGGTTTTCTGACACACACTCGGACCTGACGAAGGAAAAAAACAAAAACAGTTTTTGCTGCTTCGTTGTCACTCTCGGTTAGGTTGGCCAAATTTGTGAAGGTTTTTCCGTCTCTTCTTTAAGGTTAAGTGTTTCGTTCAGACTCTGTTATGCATGTTAGAGCATCACTCAGCCTCTCGGGTCCTCTGTTCGTTAATTGTGGTGAAATAAACAGTTGTCTGTCTGGGTATCTCAGGTGTTGCCAATCTCATGCTTATCAGGACCCTTGGAGCTACAATTCTAAATCTGTTGGGGCTTCTGTTTTTCTCAGTGTGTTCTTGCAGTGCCTTGTAAAACCAAACAATCTAGTGTGTCACAAAAGGGCTGTGTAATAAAGAACCGTTAACATACTTTCAGCTTGCTATTGCTAGACTGGACTTTGTAACTGAAAATTTAAACTGATGTTTGAAAGTAAATAAAGAGTTTAACTCTGGCTCGTGGTGCTCTTTAACAGTTGTCGGAGGAAGGTGTTTGTAAAGATTGCTTTTTGTAGAGTGGGAGTTACATCCCAGTGATCTCAGACTGACCAGACAGCAGCGGTTTTGGTTTTAGACCATCCCCTGAGCGCCCTTGGAGGATTTGCATCCCCTGCCCCGTCCCATGAAGCTGTTTTTTAGAATGAGAACTGATGCCCTTGAGCCTCGTTCTCTTAGACCTCAGCTACGTATCTTGGATGTTTGTGCCATTTTATTCAGAAGAATATTTAGGAATTTTATCTTGTCATCTTCTATTCTGTACATGTGTTTCTTTTAGCTGTTACGGCCTCTCTTTGTCCTTCGAGGTAAATTTTCCAGCCCTCGCTTAGACCACGTATCCTAACGGAGCAACAGCCAACCCTTCTAAACCCAGTGCTGCGCTGAAATATTTACACAAAATTTGGTCAGCATTGCTGATATTAAAATACAGAGGCCCAGGGAGTGGATCCTGACCCTGATTTAATGAAGACTCTTCCAGGCACGCGGCAGGACGGTCAGTTCCGAGAGCCTGTAACCCTGACAGCTTTGGGGAGCAAAAACTACTTAAATTTGTGAGTCTGAGACCCATTTCACTCCGAGCTGGATAATTCCAGGAGACAGTGGTGAAAGGATCTGATGAATAACCCCCCTTGTACGCTTCCCACATGAAAAACGCCAGTTCTTCTCGGATTTTTGGATGTTTATTCACAAGAAAAGTCTCGATAGAACCTCCCTTCGCATCTCGGAGAGCGGAGTTTGGAGCCGTGGTCCTCCAGTGATTGGAGTTGCCTCTGTGCATGCTAAGCTAGTGTCAGGCCAAGACTAAATCTGGTCTTACCCCACCCATGACGTTAAACAAACAAAAAAATAACTCTTCAATAACTCTTTCTTCTTTGTTCTTAGATGAGGGATGTGTACAGCCCAGTCTGCTCTTGTTAGTGCCTCTGGGATCTGCAGTGGCTGGAGCACGAGTGGTGAGAGGATGTTCTGGGCATCAGTAACGGGCGGGGCTGAGCGGGATGTGGGACTTGCAGTCGCTTTCCTGGCGGAAAAGTGCTAAAACTGGGGTGTGCTGATGTCTGAGGCATGAGGAGCTGGAGATCACAGCTTGTCCGATTGACTTGGGTTTCCTTTTTCGCTTGAGTTCCGCAGCCATGTCCTGCCCGGTGAACCCTAAATCTTGTCAGGTTTTTTTCCAGATCTGTCACTTAAAAAAGTGTTTCTGCTTTACACACCCTTTCCTGTTCTCACGTGGGCTGAAATGGCAGCAGCAGTTCCCTGTCTCTCCATAGACTTAGTCTGGGCCAAAGAGGGTTTCAGCAACGCAGCCTTGTGGGATGCAGCAGGTGACCCGCTGGCAGCGGAAGCCGCTGTGATTCCAAACCTGGCTCGGATCCATAGGCTGCAGATCCCTCGCAGCCTTCCTAAGCCACTTGGGAACCTGCTGTAAGGCATTTTCTAGCCAGATTTCTTCTGCCACTCTCTTCTTCCGGAGGAAGAGCTCTCTCGAGGATCGTGGGAAGATGAGCAGCACGTCTGGAAGCTGCTGAGGTGCATCGAGCTTGAGTGCTGTTGTGTGCTGCATTCCCTGAGAGTGAGTTGTTAACCCCGGAGCTCTCCTCCTCTCTTCCAACAGCATCTTTTCACTGTGCCGGGCTGCTTCATCGCTGTCGACTGAGTGCTGCTGGAGGCCGGCTGCTACCACGGCTGCTCTTCCGAGGACAGGCACAAATCAGAGAATCCAAAGCCCTTGCAGCTCCTCCAGCCCAGCCATGACCCTCACCCTGACCCTTCCCAACTCCCCCAGATCCCTCAGCGCTGGCTCAGCCCGACTCTTCAACCCCTCCAGGGATCCCGGGGACTCCCCCCTGCCCTGGGCAGCCCATCCCAAGGCCCAACAGCCCCTTCTGCACAGAAATCCTTCCTCAGAGCCAGCCTGACCCTGCCCTGGGCAGCTTGAGGCCATTCCCTCGGGGCCTGGCGCTGGGGCCTTGGCTCCAGAGACTCATCCCCCCTCTCTGCCCCCTCCTGGCAGGGAGTTGCAGAGGGCCAGGAGGTCTCCCCTCAGCCTCCTCTTCTCCAGACTGAACCCCCCCAGTTCCCCCAGCCGCTCCCCAGCAGACCTGTGCTCCAGACCCTGCCCCAGCTCCGTTGCCCTTCTCTGCCCACGCTCGAGTCATTCAGTGGCCTTTTTGGGGTGAGGGGCCCAAAGCTGAACCCCCTCAGCGAGGGGCGGCCTCCCCAGTGCCGAGCCCAGGGCTCAGATCCCTTCCCTGTCCCTGCTGGCCACGCCAGTGCTGACACAAGCCAGGATGCCGTTGGCCTCCTCGGCCCCCTGGGCACACTGATGGCTCCTGTTCAGCCAGCTGGCAACCAACTCCCAAGGTCCTGCTCTGATCCACAGCTCTCCAGCCACTCCTCCCCAGGCCAAAACACAAGTCCTGTGTTAGCTGCTTCCAGGCAGCCACTGCCACTGCTGCCACTGGTCCTGACTGGGAGCAAACTGGGGCGATGGGGAGGACTGGTGCCACCAGATGGTGCTGCCATACAGCCAGAGCTTGCACAGCGTCGAGCCTGGCCCGGGACAGCCTGGCACAGGTACAACACATGGACAGCTTCAGCTTGGTCCTGGGGGCTTCTCGTGGTCCCGACTGCCCCCACCTCTGGTGCCGCTGGGATGGGAGGAGCGGAGGCGTCACCAAGCGAAGGAACGGCAACACGAGCAGCGATTGCACCGAGGATGTTGGACATTCAGCGTTTGCCCCTCGCCAGCTGCTCTGCAGAGCAGGTTGGATGTCGCATTTATCACCTCAAGGCACGGCTTTGCTAAGTCCGAGGGGTAAAGCTAAGCAAAGCTAAAGCCCGCCCTGGTAAAGCCCAGAGCCAGCCCGGCGTAGCGAGGTGGGAAGGGGCTCGGGGAGGTCACGCTGTGGTCCTTGCCCAAAAGCTGCCCCCTGCTCCGGAGAGTTAACGGTGATTTTTGACTGGAGGGGCGATCAGAAAGGAAAACGTGATGGTTCTTTTTGAATCTCTGCTTTTCCCATCTTTTTTCAATGTCGTAGCTCTGGGAACGTTTGGTGGTTGTGTTTTGTTTTTTTTTTCCTGAGCTGCCCGTGAGTTCTCCAGCCTTTTCTTCAGAGCTGGAGCACTGTGGTGTTCTGCTTTTGTTAGACTCGCTGATACCCAGCACGCGACGGGCACCGGGGAGCTTCAAGATCTTCCTCAAACGTGAGCCAGGACGTGCTCTCCCGGGAGAGAACACAGGCTCTCCCATGAGCCAGCCCCCGATGAAATCACTCCCGTTTTAATTTGCTTTATAAGGTGATAAGCTTTTCCTGCAAGGCGGTGTTTCCAGAGTGATGTCATGCTGTTGGGTAAAGCCCCGTGTCAGTGAGTTCGTTTTGCAACCGGAACTCTCCGGAGGGAGAGATCGAAGGTTTCTCTGTTTGGCGGTGAGGAAGCTCATCCCAGAGCATCCCGCTTGGGATTCTTGGATGCAGATCCAGAGAACTGGGGAGGAGATCTCTGCTGGACCGGCTCCTTATAGATCTTCATTTTTTTTCTTGTAACAGCCTGCTCTATTCCCCATCTTTTCTTCCTCCGGCCCTCCAAACCCTTAGTAAATGAGGTGGGATTTTTGGGCCGCCTCCATCTGGCAGGCTGCTTGCCCTCCGCGTTTTCCCAGCTTGCAAATCAAAGCTGACCTCAAGCGAAGGTGCTGGAGAGCCCACCCTCCCTTACAGCCGCTGCCGAAGGGCTCCCCAGAGCTTCACTCCCAAGCTCGCAGCTGCGGATCTGGTGCAGGGGAATGGCTGGAATTTCCTGCCCGCTCCGAGCAGCCCGCGCTGCCTTCAAGTGGAGGCATGTGCGAGCAGGTCCCGGGTCAGGGTTTGCTGCCTCTTGCACCCTGGGCTGGGCGGCTGGGGATGGACACGCTCCCAGTGCAGCACAGAATTCCCAGTGTGAGGTTTCCATGCCAGGGGTGATGCTCTGGCCGAGTATTTCCCCGTGCCAGGGCTCCTCACCGTGGCATTTCAGCCACGTTTTTCTTCCTCTGCTGCTTGGAGGTACCTCATGGTCTGGCTCCAGCACTCCAGGAGATACAAATGAATATTCACCACCTACCTCTGCTACGGACTGGGGTTTTCTTGATCATTTCCCAACCAGCATCACGGCTCAGGCCTGGGGGAAAGTCTCTTTTTGCTGCTCATCTCAGCTGCTTCCCGCTGCGGTGGCAGCTCTGGTGTGGGAGCAGCGTGCCCTGTGTACTCAGCCCTTCCCCATGTCACACTCCGGTGACTAATTCCCTCCTGAGGGACACAGAAGCCTGATCCATGCCCGGGTTCACAAATAAATTTATTTCTGTTGGAGGTTAGACTAACAGCAACCTCGCTTAATTCTGCAGCAGCTTTCATTCTCAGCCCTCATCCAAAATTGTGCCTCGTGCTTAAAAAAAAATGTCCAGACTTAAAATCCTACAGTTGTAAGGAGCTTTCGGGGTTGTCCTTCCCTTGTGGCATCTCCTGAGGCTTTCCTTGGTAAAAGTGATGCTATTCTGGGCTGTGCCTAGGTTGGGTTTGATTTCCTCCATCTATTTTCCACCCTGTACTGGAAAGCTTTTTGGAGGGAGGATTTAGAGCTCGTCTGGGTCCCTCCTGAGCGTGGCTCGGAGCCTGCTGAAGGCAGGTCCCTGGTTAGAGCTGCAGCTTTCGGTCTGTCGCTGCCTTGTGCTTCACTCCCGGGCTCAGTGCCGCCGTCCGAGGGAGCACGAAGCTCCCGAAAGCCTCAGCCTGGGGCTTCCTGCTGGTTCCACACTCAAAATGGAGCTGAAGGGCTGTTTTGGCATGTCAGAGGGGTGAGACGTGTCCCCTGTTTGAACAGAAAGAGACTCACACCATCAAAAAAGCTTCTTATTTTAAAGCTGCTTCTCAACAACCATCACTTCTATCCAGCCCAGGCTGAGCCTGTTGCTGGTGCA